ACACATATTTCAGTCCTAACTTACCTATATCTCCGTCGTCAAGACCAAATCAACTCCTGAAACCGAGGTGCAGACCATCCACAGTGATCGGCAAAAACCAACTCCGAGAAGCGGCAAAATGGAGACAATCGAAAGTCGTCAGGGTAGAACTATCAGCCAAAGTTCTGATTCTCACACACACTGCGCACAGTTTTTGTCCCCGACGGCCGGCAGCCACGCTACACTGACCCCCCCCCCCCCCCTCCGCCTCCCGATTCACCCGCCCAGTGTGCAGCGGCCGGGGAGCGCGCCTGGGTCAGTGTGCAGCGGCCGGGGAGCGCCTGTCACCGGTCAGTCGGCACGGCCGTGACGTCAGAGCCGGCCGCGTGGGCCGGCCGGGTGACAGGCCGACCGCCATCGAAAAGGGCAAACCGCATGTCAACCCGCCGAGGCGTCCCGTGGCACCCAGGTTAAGTGCAGTTCTTATGGGCTTTGTTTTAAACCCGCGCCGTGCTGAGGGGCGTTTTCACGCCCCCTTTAAGCTTCTCGCGCGCCGTTTTTGGTAAACCTGTTGGCTGTTCATACATCTTTTCCGCACATGTTGCGAAAATTTCAGACCCGGGTCGTTCAAGGTCAGGTCACCAGGTCACGTCAAGTGGCATTACCTCAGAAAACGTTCATAGGCTCGCTGTAGCTACCCTGACCAAGCGATCGCTTTGAAACTTTCAGCGATTGATCAGAGTAACAGTATCAATAAAATGTACATCTGGAATTTTGATAACTGTGACGTAAGTTCAAGTAAATTTTGCGACCTCTCCATTATAAATCAATGGAAGAAAATTGAAATGCGCCTGTTTTGGACGAATGTCCTAAACACTCTCAAACATCGTTTACTGTTAACGCCAGACCCCTTGAGACCCTATTTTTTCGCGATTATTTGTAAATGCGTGGAATAATTTTAACCATATTTAGAAAGTAGATGTTTCAAGACCTGCCGAAACTTTTTCTTCAAATACATTTTGTTGTCACTTGAATATTTGTGGCACTTGTCATTGACTCGTAATGTTAACTGTTTTTCCATCCTGGATAGAGGCTTTCTACGTCATATGACATTAGGCTCCGCCCACGACTGCGGCATTGACCTGTGCCCATCAGCGACCTCTGTACGAACGACACCCCTGCCATCTGTAAAGGACTATGAATTTCGCTGACGCTTCACGTGCTATGAATCAATTGCAGCAGACGGTCAAGTAAATGTTATGCTCTTGTTGACTCTTGTATATAGGACCAAGAGGACCATCACTCCTCAACCTACTACTCACACGTGCTTCGAACAAACGTTAACGATTCCTAACAATTAACAAATACGATTTTCGATGTAGGGTAGGGGAGAGTGGGGTAAGATGCCCAGGGTGGGAAAGACGCCCCACCCCCTCTAGCGGCGAAACAAAGAATCGAACCTGGAAATTAATGTTCTTAGCGTAAAGCGGAAGCCTGCCTTGTTAACTGCACAAAAATTTGCGAAGCTCAGTTGGGCAGCGGCTGGCTGGTGATTGCATGTTTTTTATTTGCTGCTTTCAAAAAATATTTTGGTGTCAAAACATTGTAAATATCAAAGAAGGTAGATAATTTTTGCGTCCCTTGCTATAGTCGTGATACATTAACATGCGTGTACTGTGTCCCAAACAATTTATTTCAGGGTGTAGTTTTATGGCTAACAAATTGTACTGATTTAATGTTACTTCGGTACCTTGGGGTAAGATGCCCCCTGTCCTGATGGGGAAAGACGCCCCCCTAAATTCGTAGGCTGTCCTTCAAGCATCCCGTCAAATCATTTATTACATACTTGTGATTAGAGACAAAAGCCGATCTGGGACTATTGAGAGTCCAGTACGGTCGGGTGCTCCCCATGCCGGTCTCTCGGCCCATACAACGACTTTTTGGGCGGCATCTGACTCTGAGAGCCCTCACGACGGCCTCTGTGGGCCCCATTATTGGCTCCAGGGCCCCTCACGACATCCTTTGAGGGCTCCCACGTTGGCTCCACGGGCCGCGCTGGCATCTGGGGTCAACACGATGGGCTCGAGGGCCCTCAAGCATCATGAAGACCTACAAGGGCCTCACAGTGGTCTCTGAACGCCACCACGGAGGCTTGTTTGGCCGCGCTGGACTATGATGGCCCTAACGATGACCTCTGAAGCCCCTTACGACTACTTTTGGGGGCCCTTACGATGACGTTTGGTGTCTACTGCAGGCTCGAAGGGACTGCTGATTCGTTCAGGCGATTCACGTGCCCATTTATGTCACTTATAGTGCAGGGGGCATCTTACCCAACGCCAGGGGGCGTCTTTCCCACCCTGTGGGGTAAGATGCCCCCTTTCACTTCTTCAGGGAAATGCTTAATAGCAAAAAAAATTATCATATTTCAGGCACGAAAGTGTGATATTTTTGGAGAAAAATGATGTCGGCTTCCGTTGAAACTCCAAGTTTTTGCTTTCCGATCGTCATTTTCGAATAAAATCTGACATAGTAAAACCCTGGGCATCTTTCCCCACTCTCCCCTATCTGTTTGAAATACGAGCGAGCCTTATGATGTGAAGCGAAGGCAATTAACTTATTATTGCGTTGTTCGATGGTTGCATAGCGATGTACAAATCAGGAGCTACTTGATGACATCCGAGATCCCATTATCGCATTATCTGCAACGCCATAGGCTTTAAATACAGGTGAATATTTCCTAACCTTATGTCAGTTATATGCCATCTGCCCGTCATTTGCAGCTTATAAAAAATAAAACAAATATCAGCGAACATATCAGCATTGTACAAGCAATGCGCATTGAGCATTTATGGCTCCTCAGCCGGTCCCGTAGCTCAGTTGGTAGAGCGTTGGCCTCCGCGTGGTGAGAGCACGCGTTCTCGGTTAAAACAGTCCGGGTTCGAAGCGCGACGGGCGCTTGACATTTATGGGCCTCCTGTCATGTATGTATGGTTGCGGTTGGTGGCAGGCCGTAGCCAGGCGAAGTCAGTGAGGGGACCGGCCGTGCGCGGCTATGTGCGCACGTTAAACTTTGGACTCTAAATTCTACCATAGAACCGGAATTGCGCGATCGGAGGGTAGAGGGCAGGGTCACCGCAACAAGCTTCGCTTAGCGGTGGCTCTGTCCTTGTGAATCCTTCCAATCAAAAGGTTCGGACTAAATTTATTTAGAAAAAAAATGTCGCTCTCTGGGCACTGTCAGCCAAGACGCTACGCACAACTCCGCCGGCTTTCGGCACCGTTCGACCGTCCCCGCTCCCTGCCACAGCGAGAGTGACCGCGCGCCGGCCCGAAACCGCCGCAGGCCAAGACCACAGAGGCGGGGCTTAGCTCTGACGTCATAACGTATCACAGACTGACTGGTGATAGCCTCTACACACCGGGTGAAAATCTTGCTCGAAATTTAACATTACGAGTCAATGACAAGTGCCTGGAATATTGAAATGGCGGTAAAATATCTAAATTGTAAAAGTTTCGGCAGGTCTTGAAACGGCCATGTCCTGAGCTTGGTTGAAATTCCTCCACGCATTTAAAAATAATCGCGAAAAATTAGGGTCTCAAGGGGTCTGGCGTTAACAGTAGTAGGTAAACACCAGCATAACGCCTTTTGGGGCGAATAACGGAGCGAGCGAGAGGGTGGGCCTTGCACCTGCGAAATTGCGAGGGGTTACCTCCAACCGACTTGTGCACGGCACCCTACTAACCGGTCTCTAGCAATGTGCCAAATTTGAGCACAATCGGCCCAGCCGTTCTTGAGATCTGGAAGCGGCACCCTGCACGTGCGCACGTGCAAAATGGGTCCCAACTGACTCGTGCACGGCACCTTACTAACTGCTCCGTAACCGTGTACCAAATTTGAGCGCAATCGGTCCAGCCGTTCTCGAGATCTGGAATCGACCCCTGCACGTGCGCACGTGCAGCAGCACCCGAACTCTGGCACATGGATATGCATTGCCTAGTGGGTGCCTAGGCCTACCTACATGCCAACTTTCAGCGCAATCGGCCCAGTAGTTGCCGAGATGTTGCAACTATTACAAAAGTGACACTTCTTCGTTTTGCACGTGGCACGTGCATAAGGGGTCACCCACATGCATCGGGAATAGTCCAATACTTGGTAGAATGAATGAAGCTACCCTAAAAAAAATACCGCATGTAAATCGGTCAAGTGGTTGCTGAGATATAAGCCTCGCAAAAGCGTTCGCACGGCCGGCGGCCGCTCATACTCAGAAATTTCTGTTAATCTAAGGAAAGACGCCTATTCAAGATATATATTTAAAGATGCCTATTTAAAGATATATAAAGAACTTATATATATAAAGAACTTATATATATAAAGAACTTATATATAAAGAACTATAAAGAGCTTCAGCTCCCGATCGCCAGCGTGTGCTGAGCTATCGCAGAAAATCCCTATGGAGGGCGAGAGCTGAGCTATGGCAGAAAATCCCTATGGAGGGCGAGAGCTGCCCACAGTCCTCCTCCCGCCAGAAGCAGAAGCGCAGAAAATCCCTATGGAGGGCGAGAGCTGAGCTATGGCAGAAAATCCCTATGGAGGGCGAGAGCTGCCCACAGTCCTCCTCCCGCCAGCAGCAGAAGTAGCTTTGTTTTCAGTCTAGCAGAGCTATACAAAATGAAATGGGTGGATTGATTATGTTTCTGAGTGAATTACATACGAAAGAGTAAAACTATCGAACCAACATATGTTTATCAGAGTTCTTATTTGATAGAGCAATACCAGTGTCATATTTGTTTAACATCATCGACCATAAATAAATAAATAAATAGAAGTCCTGAAAAAACGGATGGCTTTGGCATAGATTTTCGACTGCGTGGTCCATCGGTCTTGGTCGGGAGCCATTGGCGCTGGGGGTCCATTACAGACCACAGACGCACGCCTCCCCCCCCCCCCCCCCACCTGAGAATTGTGCCTACGCACCTCCGCGTCCCCTCCCTCCTCCTTCGCTACCCTGCCTCCTCCTTACCGGAGACAGCCGAGCCCAGTAGGGTCAGAGAGGCGAGCAGCACGGTCAGGCCGGCGGCGCTGGTCATGGTCCTGTCGGCGGTCCGTCAGCTGTGTCCGTCAGCAGCACGGTCCGCTGCGCGCTGGTCCGCCTCCTGTCGGCGCTGTGTCGGCGCTGTGCGGAGGTGGCCGGTCGGACCGCAGAACCCCACTGTGCCCGCTGAGTCCACTGACAGACACCGCTGACACCCCGAGGGCGCCGATCCGGGACACCGTGGGCGCCCGCCCGCCCACCCCGTCACCAAAGGTCGCGCACCCAGGTGTGACGGCCGCGGTAAATGTCAGCGGCGACAAGCCGCCAACCGCGCTACGGCACTGCGGTACTGCGCGGCGCGGTACAGACTGCCGAGCGGTGTAGGGTCTGTTCCAGTCGCACTTCCTAACACCTCTAAACTCCTTCCTCCAAGATTGCTTCCCTGTTCTCTTGAAAGTATCGCGTCGGGCTGTGGCGTCTCGGCGAACTGCTCAATTCAGTTTGAGGACCCCAGCAGTGAGGTCATGGCCATGACCTCACCTTATTGACCTGACCTTAGGTCATCGATATCAAAATTCCGAGATGAACAAATTGTAGCTACTAATGACCTTATAACATCCTGCGACTTCCAAAGGCCTCCGACATCTACTGTAGCTCTGGCACGGTGACAAAGTTGCAAAAAAGTGACTTGAGGTTGGGTCATTCAAAGTGACCTGATGACCTGACCTTAAAAGTTAGGAGGTTCAAAGCTGCACACCATGTGTAAAATTGATGAGAGAATAGTCGTACAAAATTTTGCGGTGCTAGCGCCGCGGTTTTCCCGCTATCTACGAAAAACCTCAGGGGGGGGCGGATATCCGCCCCCCGTCGGTGCGCGGGTTAAATGTTTAAGTCTTTCCTTGATTCCAATTTTGGCAATTAGTCGCACAGGGGCGGAAGGTATTTTGCCCCACCAATAAGCGTTTTGCCCCACCAACTTTACTTTGTTGCTTTGCAAATTAATCTGTTTCGCATTTAAAAGCTTTGGAATGTCTGTTTAATGCAAAATAACATGTCTGTAATGATAGGAATAGATTCAGTGTGGCATTTTATTCAACTTTATAATCGGAAATTGTGAGTTTGACGACTTTTTGCCCAACCACCTTCCCTGGAAAAGCTCCACCTATATGTAGTCGCAGCGTGAATCCTTCGTACGTGCGGTCGGAGATTCTCAGCACGGCCACCCCGGTCCCCCGGTCGACCACAGGCTGCAGCCCATAGGTCACTTTGGATCAGTGAGTGAACCTGTATATATATATTTTTTTTGCAAAGAAATTCGCATGGAAGCGTATTTTGAGAATAAAATGTCCGTAGGCTGAGCTCGTTTCCTATATCATGCTAAATACGCATCAAGATAAAGGTTTTTGAAGAAAAAAACACCGGGCTGCAAATTGCGTTTATTGGATTTTATAATAAAAAAAAATCAGCGAAAGCTGGTTCTTATACTCTTATTTTGCAACACCTTGTAAATCATGCATGAACATGACTTACATTTTAGACTGACGCCCCTGTCACTAGCTGACAATGGCGCCCCTCTCAAGCAGGGGCCCGGGAACGATTTTCAAGTTGGGGGGGGGGGGCGAGCCTAAAATACCTGACATGATGCATATGAAACAGTGGCGTAGCTAGGAGTCTAAGGGGACACGTATTATCCCCCTCCCCCATCGGGTTCAAAGGGACCCTCGGGTCCGAGGGGCCCTACGGCGCGGCGCCATTTGACCGCTGAGGGTTAACGATGGTCAGTTCATAGGGGCATTTCGGTTCTGCGACAACTGAGCGAACGTCATTTCAGCGAACGACATTTGAGCGAAACATTTTCAGCGATTATCAATTTAAGCGATTGGCTTTTTCAGCGATTGTCAAGTCGGCGAATTCAATCACAGCGATTATCAACTTTAGCGAGGACCAGAATCAGCGAAACCATATTGAGCGAACATATGGTGGTCAGTGGGAGACCAGTTGAGCGATGCAGTTACAGCGAATGACCGAACGCGACGAAAGTCAATCGTTTGCTACTTTTCGGAAATTATTGCACCTCTTCACGTAATTTGAATTTTGAAGAAACATATGTACATCGTCATCGGACGACCAACAAGGGGTGCATGGGAGGCCGAGGGGAAGGAGGCGGGCAAAATTTGAATCGAAAATGTGGAACGTGAGAGAAAGGGCGACGGAAGGAATGCCAAGGACCAATAACAAACTAGAGAGATGGCACAGGGGAATCCAGTCTATGTTTCAGGGACCTCACCCAAATATCTGGAAATTCGTACGGTGCTTGGGGCAAGAACAAATTTTACAACATGGGGAACTGATCCAACTTCAAGCGGGGCAATTTCGCGAAAAAAAAGCACAAGCAATATTGATCTCTGAACAAACGTTTGGTCACCATTATTGACAAAGAGCAGGGTGGGTTAGGGGGGGGGGGTGAAATTGAACCGTTGGAGTTTTTGACAAATGTAGCATTAAAATTGGAGCTCAATGCCTGGCCTTTGAACGCGCGACATCCGCCATCCAGTACAGGATAACCATGAGATATTCCGGAAACATTCGTACGCATACGCTCGCAAAAGAAAAAAATCCACCGTTACAGGACGATGAAATGTTTCGCTGAACTGACAGTCGCTCAAATTGTAGTCGACGAAATATATGTCGCTGAAACATAGCTTTCGCTAAAATTGATAATCGCTATATTTGATAATCGATGAACTTGATAATCGCTGAATTGCCATTCGCTGAAAATGGTTCGCTCAAATGACGTTCGCTCAAATGACACTCGCTAAAGTCGCTCGCACCGGGGCATTTCCCGCCTGTGATGGTCCCACACTTATTTTTGATAGGGCCCCATAACGGCAACTGTGGGGCCCTCGTCGGCGCCAATGAGGGCCCACACCGGTGTCTCTGAGGGTTTCACACCCCCAACTCTAAGTGCCTACACCAGTGCCTATTAACCCTCGCCCTGGCAGGGCACATTGCTCCAACAGACGGTAAATAGCTTTTGAAAATACCCATCTCCAATTTTAGTGTTTTCTGAGCCAAAATTTTGCGAGGAATCCGATGGTGTGGTCCCCGAAATCTGAAAAATTTCCATTTTGGAGATAGCACCTATTTTTTGAAAAGTAAATATTCGTCATGCACGAAAGTCAAATAAATTGAAAATATAATGAGTGAATATTTATATTAACACTAGAATGTATCGAACATGAATAAGTGATATATTTTAGCTGAGATGATACTATATCTGCCCATACATGTACATTAACTAGTACATTAACCCTCGCCCGTATAGGGGGTCGAACGGACCCCCCCCCCATGGTTTTTCGCAAATAACTCGCGTAAAAAGCGGCCGATCGCGACGAAACTTTCAGTACCCTCGCGTTTATCAATTTTACACCTACCCTGAAAATTTCATGACCCTGACCCCAATGACCTTTGACCTGTGACCTACTTTTCGAGACCATGTTTGGCCGGAATCGCGATTCGGCGTATGTCGGCTCGCATTAGCCGCGCGTTTGCAGTCTTTTCGTGGTTTCAAGCGTTCAAACATGTGATATGATGTTGCCCCCATGCATAAGGGTGGGTGTCAAGGTCACCTGAAGGTCAGGTCAGGTCATTGACCATTGGTGACCTCGGTTCACTTTTTCGAGTTTTACATGTTTCTAGGCCAGTTTTTGGAGCTGAATTCGAATTTAGCAACCATATGAACATTTACGAAGTAGTTTTGGTGCCTTCGTAACATGTTACGAAGCTGTCAGAGGCGGTTGACATCTACTAGGAATACCCGGCAGGACCCCTACTGGTTGACCTGACCTGACCTGACCCGACCTGGACTAAATGCATAAAGACATCATCTGTGATCAAAACTAACATGATATTCGTGATCAGCGCCCCGAAAAACCCCATAGCAGCCACAATTTACGACGTTCTAACAGGTCCCGATTTTCCGACTTTTGGGTCATTGACCTGACCTGAAAGGTCAACCAATGACCTAGGACCTTAAAATTAGGTATCATCGGCTTCCTCTCGTCACGGGCAACACGCTCGTTTTTTTCGCGAAGCTCTAGCTCGATCAGGGGCGAAACGGCAAGGGGGGGGGGGTCCAACGGACCCACCCCCCCCCCCCTTATACGTTCGCGGCTGGAAAACACCAATACGGGCGAGGGTTAACCCTCGCCGGCCGAGAAGGGGTGGGGCGGATGCCGCCTCATAGTTTTTTTTCGCGATAGCTCAAAACACGCTGAGGGAAAACAGCTGAAACTTGGCTTACCTAATCTTTTATTCAAGCTGGATCTTTTGACACCAACTGCGTTTTCAGGTCAGGTCAGGTCACTGACCTATGACGTCATAAATGAACCTCTGCACGGTCCTCAGAAGTTGCAACTTTGCAACGCCCTCAGTGCCAGAGGAACTTTCACAGGAAGATGAAACTTACAGGACGTAGTATCCTTTAGAGGTCTCACAAATTGTATATCTCAGGTTTTTCCCAAATGTCACATGAGGTCAGTGGTCACGTGACCTCACCATAATAAGTCAATGGAGGGAAATATGAAAACGGTTATTTTAGCGCCGGAAATTGTCTAAAAACTGTCCCAAGCACATGAAATCGTGGTTTCATGCACTCTTTGTAAGGTCCGATCATGAAACCACGATTTCATGTGCTTGGGATAGTTTTAGATCATTTACGGCGCCAAAATAACAGTTTCAATATTTCCCCCATTGACTTATAAAGGTGAGGTCACGTGACCGACCTGACCTCATGTGACATTTAGGTTAAATCCGAGATAAACAAGCTGTGAGACCTCAAAAGGATACTACGTCCCGTAACTTTCATCTTCCTGTGAAAGTTCCTCTGGCACTGAGGGCGTTGCAAAGTTGCAACATCTGAGGACCTCGCAGAGGTTTATTTATGACGTCATAGGTCAGTGACCTGACCTGACCTGAAAAAGCAGTTGAGGTCAAAAGATCCAGTTTGAATAAAAGATTAGGTATACCAAATTTCAGCTGTCTACCCTAAGCGAGTTTTAAGCTATCGCGAAAAGCCCTATCAGGCGGCACCCGCCCCACCCCTTCTCGGCCGACGAGGGTTAATGTACTACTCCATGTACATGTATGCGCAGATATAGTATCATCTCAGCTAAAATATATCTGTAATTCATGTTCGACACATTCTAGTGTTGCTACAAAAATTAACTCATTATATTTTCAATTTATTTGACTATTATGCCTGACGAATATTTATTTTTCAAAAAATAGGTGCTATCTCCAAAATGGAAATTTTCAGATCTCGGGGACCACACCATCGAATTCCTCGCAAAATTTTGGTCCAGAAAACACTAAAATTGGAGATGGGTATTTGCAAAAGTTATTTACCGTCTTTTGGGGCAATGTGAGGGCTCATTTGAAAAACATCTCAAGTCTCACTTACATATAGAAAAACCACCAAAGTATTATATTTATGGTTCGAAAATGGAAAATACACTTCTAACACGTCTAAGGGTTGGGATGTCAGAGTTAAAATCCCATTTATTTCAAATACAAAAAAAACTGAATCTCCATATTGCAACCACTGTCAAGGCAGAACTAACGAGAACACAGGACATTACTTACTAAAATGTCCAAAGTACACACAAGTAAGAGAGAGAATGACAAACACAATAAATGGTATAACAGGCATTGACATACACAATTTATCACAAAAGGAACAACTAGACTTCATACTACACGGTAATACGGTACGACCCAGGGACGAATTTGAGGTAGCACGAGCGGTGTACCAATTCATCCATGCCACCAAACGTTTTGCCTCTCCTTCCCATCCTGCCACCTATCCCTAACGCCCAGTCCTTTGACACCGGTCGCCACAGAGCGCTGCCCTCGGCGCCGGCGCCTTTACATCTATTGAGAGCGGTCTGCGCGGTGGCGGGCAGCGGCTGCGAGGGCCGAGGCTGTGGTCGGCACCCAGTGTGATTTTGCGGACTCGAGAGGCGCCCCGATTTAAGTGCTCCGGCACTTTTGCGCCAATCGAGGTGACACTGATTGTTTATTTCGAATGAATGTGTTAAAATATATGAGATGAGATGAGATGAGACGAGGGGGGTCGATGCGACCCCCCCTAAAGTTTTTCGAAGATAGCGTAAAAACGGCGGCGCGCAGCGCCGCCAAATTTGGTACAGCCTATGGGGCAATCTTTTTACATATGACCTGAAAATTTCAGGTCCGGGTGACCTTGGGTCAGGTCACCAGGTCAGAAAAACCGGTACAAGGTCATGGTCAAATTTCAATTTTCTTTTTGCACCTGTCCAACTCACAGTTTTGGACAGATTTCCTTCAAACTTTCAGGATGTGCTAAGTTCACCGAGTTGTATCACATATAGTTCGGGTTTTTTGAGGTCACTGACCTGAGGTCAGTTAGAGGTCATTACATCGTAATGTTAAGCCTATGGGAAAATACTAAATTCTGAAAATACTGGAGACATCCGCTTCGTTCTATCACTTTTGTGCTTTGAAACCACAGTACTTAACAGCAGGTCACTTGGTGCTTCTTTGTTTGGTGTACTTATCCATGGGTCAGGTCAAATGAGGTCAACTGAGGTCAAATGACGTTTTTGCCAATAACTTGGCACATAATGACGCTAGAGCTTAGAAAATAGTATCAATGTGTTCCTGGTGATCAGCCGAATCGAATGATATGCGATATGATGCAATTTGGTTAACTTGTACTTAATTAATTAATTTAAGTTTACTTAAAATTTAAGAAAAACTTTAAGTACACTTAAGCAAGCTAAAAAGTACAACATTCGACGCGCCTTGATGTGCTGAGTTCACTGGTACTTTTCTTTTTGCTCTATCTTAATTAGATCAAAAGTTATAAGTGAAAAAAAAACTTTTGACCTGTTTTTAGCGAAGTTTTTACTTTTATACCCCCCAAAACCCCCCTAAATATTGACCTAGAGCAACCAAATTTGCACAGGAGCGAGAACTCCAGGGGGCCCACCTATCTACCAAATTTGGTGTTTCTAGGTGCCATAGGAGCCAATCGCGAGGGGGGGGGGTCGCATCGACACCCCCCCCCCCCCTGCTAGTCCGTGTTATGAAAAATGCCCTGCCAGGGCGAGGGTTAAGATTAAGCCCTGTATCGGCGGCTCTGAGGACCCAACCAACACCTGTGCATCTGAAGGCCACCCACTGGTGACTTTTGAGGGTCCCACACCGGTGAGTCTGAGGGCCCCACCGGCGTCTGACAGTACCATGCCGGTCTCTAAGGACCCCACAGGACTTCTTCTGCCGGCCTAAGGACCCCTTGCCGGTCACTGAGACCCCCTGCCGCCTTGTAGAATGTAGAGAGTTCGCGTCAGCAGCTCTAAAGCCCCCATGCCCGTCTGTAACGGCTCCACACCAGCGTCTATGAGGGCCCACAGCAACGCCTGTAAGGACCCTCATCGGCGCCTCTGAGAGAATCACACAAGCACCTCTGAGCGCCCACACCGGCACCTGCATGCCGGCCCCACACCGGTGCCTCCAAAGGCCCCTTACCGGTGGCTCTGAGGGCCCCACGCCGGTGATTCTGAGGGTGCTACCGATAACCGAAGGCACCGCACCACCCTTAGTGTCGCTGAGCTTTAATCCCATACCGGCCCTCCGAGGGCGCCACGTCAGTGCACTCATTGCCCCACGGCCCACACCCCTCCCTCACACCCGGAGCGGGTAAACTGTGTTATACCTATAGCAACGATTTTACCACCCTTGTACGTTATGTATTTCTCAAAGTTGACCCAAAATGGTCCAGTATAAAATCTGGCCTGCCAAACTTATGGCCAGGGTCAGGCCCATGTCAAAGCGGGATGACAATAGCAGATGTTGTCAAATCGATACTGTATCAGCAGAAACTATTCAGATGGCAAGGAAAATGCCGTGTGTTGATGTTAAAATGTATAAAGGAAACAAAAAGAAAAGAAGTCCGGAAAAGGGAGGAAAGATCTTTTCTCCCTGCCTCAATGTTGAGGGGGCGCCGCCCCCTCGGCTCTTAAGTTGGGGGGGCAAGCGCCCCCGCTGCTCCCCCCCCCTGTTCCCAGGTCTATGCTCTCAAGGGAAAAAGTCGCCCCCTCGAGCACCATGGCCCCCCTTTCGCTGATTTCTGGCTACGCCACTGCATGGAGTGTCGTTTATTTGTACATTTTCCCCTGCCGAGGTCAAACAGGGCCACATATCGAGAAGCGGGATTAATGAAAGTTACTGCGGCCTATGGGTCCGGATGATGTGCTTTGATTTGGAATTCGGTCAATCCCTCTACTCGAGAACTGCTGTGCAAGTGTATTTTCGACATAACCCACAAATGACCTTAGGTCATTACATGACCTTGAGAGGTTGAATGGGTATTGGGAAAGTAAGATTAGATGCTGGCGAGTCGCGATTGGTGCCATTTTTAGTGCTCTAGCTCTAGGGGAAAATTGGGTAATATCGGACGGGTAACTTCAAGCCATCGTAACATGAAGGTTATCATTTTTATGTAACTGGGAGTCATTTAAATATATGTAGAAAGCCCAAAACTTTGTTTTTAGAAAGTCTGCTGAGGTTCCGGTGTTGCGTTGGAGCGCAGCGATTTTTTAAAGAAAAAAAAAGTTAGGTACTTGGGTATTATCGGACAGCAGCAGCAAATTACGGACGGGCGTCCAAATGGATCCCAAAGAGTCTTGATATTGATATTGGTCCTCGAGTTATGCGTTGGCTTCTTGCTCTTTCGAACGCCACCTTCCGCGTGTCGCTCCGTGGCCCAGGAGCCGAGTTAGAAGAGGGGGAGGGGGTTTCAAACACCTCCCCCATAGGGTAATATCGGATGGGTGTCCGATAATAACAAACACGTAGGCCGTTCAAAATGCGCCAAAATGGGAGCAACAAACACATTGAACACAGATAGTTGGCCCAAAATCGATAACAAAAATGTTCAAGTAAGTGGAAAAGGTACAACTTGGCAGTTACAACTTCTTTATCTCTGCGATAACAGTTAATTAATAAGTTGTATGCATAGGCGGCGGAACGGGGAGGGCACCGGGGCACCGTGCCCCCCTTTGATTTTGGCATTTTAACATTAGCCCTATGGGCGTTGCATGGAAAGAATGGACCAAAAGTCGTCAGTGCCCCCCTTAATTGAAGGTGTTCCGCCGCTACTGGTTGTATGGATGGAAGGACAAATGGTGATTAACGTAAAAAAAAATTATGACAGCCTAGCGGCAAACTGCCTACGAGAGGAGGAGGTGACAAAGGAAATCCAGCGCTACCTTTTTTCCAAATAAAATATTTGCGCATGCACCTGGGGGAGAGTTCAGAAGATAACTGCCTGTCCGATATTACCTACTGGCCGATATTACCCAACTTTCCCCTACTTGGTGGGCCACAATCTGCTGTGCAAATTTGGGCCACGTGACCTTTGCTGACCTCTGTAGGTCAAACGGTTGGGAAGGGAGTGCCACCGAATGACTCGGACTGTGGATTTAGCATGTCAGGACCCACATTGTGTGCGAGTTTCAGCTTGATCGGAGGTGTCCCGAATCCGGGCTGAATCTGGGCTGAATATGGGCTGTCGTGATGGACATCGGAACTGGTTGCCCTCCCGCTCGCCGAGCGACCTGCCGCTAAAACCCGCGAGACGTGCACCTAAATATTGCCTGGCTGCCGCTAGTGGCGAGTGGCTAGTGCCGCCTCAACAGTCACCATCACCACGCCCACCCAGCCGCAGTCGCGGCCTGGTCGCCCACTCTCTCCCCGCCCCTCCCCCCTTATCGGCCGCGGTCGCTGTGCTTGCTCCTCCATTGGCACCGCAGAACGAACGGAGACTCCTGTCGGATGCGTGTATTGTAAAAACCGTACGGCGCCGCCGGCGGCGACTTCCTTGGCACACGAACAACATGGACCGTCCGCGGCAGAGCGCGGCGCTGGGCGCCCCCGCAGGCGCCGCGCCGCCTTTGTACCTGCGCGCCAGCCGAGATCACACTCTGGTGACGTCAGCGCCACCGGCACCGGAATGGCCTGTTCAGATGGCAGCGGTCGCGCCGGCGCGCGGCCAGCCGCCTCCGCTCACATCGCGCGGCCAGCTCAACGTATCACCCATATATGAACAGGACGCACATTGATGCCATTCACAAACGCTGATCGCCATTATACCTTAAAAACATCAAAACATATATAAAACCGTATTTCAAAATCCAATATACAAAACATTTTCGTATAAATAGGGTGTGTCGTCATTGAAGCTCACAGCGCCAGAGTGACGTTCTGGGGACGTCGGTTGGACGGTATAGGTATCGCCGCAGCCTGCCGGGTCCCGGTATCCTCGGTCCGTGCCGGGTCCGGGTCCGGGTCCGGCGTGACGTTCTGGTGACGTCGGTTGGACGGGAGGTATCGCCGCAGCCTGCCGGGTCCCGGTATCCCCGGTCCGTGCCGGGTCCGGGTCCGGGTCCGGCTCAGCTGGCCGCGGTGCGCGGCCGCAGTCGGGTCATGTAGGCCCGGCAGTCGGCGCAGTAGGCGCCCGGCGCCAGCCGCGGCCGCTGGCTGCACAGCTGGCACGGCCCGGCGGCGCGCGGCGGCGGCGGCGGCTGGTAGGGCGGCAGCGGCCGCGCCCCGCGCCCCGCCCCCGCCCCCGCCACCGGGCTGAGCGCGCGCCGCGGCTCGCTGCACGGCGCGCTGTGATTGGTCGGTATGTGGTCGGTCGGTGGCGCGCTGCGATTGGTCGGTATGTGGTCGGTCGGTGGCGCGCTGTGATTGGTCGGTATGTGGTCGGTCGGTGGCGCGCTGTGATTGGTCGGTATGTGGTCGGTCGGTGGCGCGCTGTGATTGGTCGGTATGTGGTCGGTCGGTGGCGCGCTGTGATTGGTCGGTATGTGGTCGGTCGGTGGCCCGCGGGGGTTGGTCGGTGGCCCGCTGTGGTTGGTCGATGGTCCGCTGTGGTTGGCCGGCTCGTTGTGGACCAGTGCAGTCACCTGGTGCCGCCTGCCGCCCAGGATCCGCTGTAGGATCGGGTTGGGCAGCTGCGTGTCGTCGTGTTCGTCCTCGGCTGTGGCCACCAGGGTCACCTGGTCGCAGAACGTCACAGACTTCTTGAGCCGCCGGCCGGCGCCGGCGCCGGGCGGGTCGGCGCGGCGCGCTCGGCTGCCGCGCGCCAGCTGACCCGACTGGGCCGAGAACAGCAGCTGGTTGCTCTGCTGGGCGCAGCCGAACGTGGCCCGCGGCTGGCCGGCTGGCGCCGAGGGAGAGGGAGAGGGCGGCGGCTGCTCGGCGGACGACCGATGCTGCTGGACAGACGGCTGGCCCGCCGGGTCAGCTGCACAGTAGCCAGACGGGTGGCCAGCGAAATGGTCCGCGGCGGGGACCGGTAGCAGCGCGGCCGGTGATCCCGCGGAGGGCCCCGCCGGCTCGCTGGCGGCGGCGGCCTCGAACCTGCCGGCCAGGTCGCGGACGGAGCGAACCGAGCCGCGGCGCGGCTCCTCCGGCGGCAGGCGCAGCTCCTCCGGCGGCAGGCGCAGCTCCTCCGGCGGCAGGCGCGCCGCGGCCGGCAGCTCGCGGTAGTCGCTGTCCCCACTCTGGCACGGCTGCTGCTGGCTGTACTGCTGCTGGGGGTTTGGTTGGTACTCCGGGCGGTGGTACAAATGGTCGCCGCCCAGCCGGCCGCCGTACGGGGACTCGCCGTCCTGCGGCCGGCTGTAGTGCGTCCGGTCTGCCGGGGAGAGCGGCTGCTGACGCCGGGGGCAGGGGTCCGTGCCGCCCGGCCGGCGGCCCTCGGCCGGCTGCGGGCCGCAGCTCAGCTCCAGCTCCGGGCCGCAGCTCAGCTCCAGCTCGGCCTCGGTCGGCGGCGGCGGCAGCGCCTCGTCCTCCAGCGTCAGCTCGGACAGCTCCTGGGCGGGCGGCGGCGGCGGCGGCAGCTCCAGCGACGGCTGCCGGCAGTGGGCCACCGGGCCGCTCACCGGGCCGCTCCCAGGGCCGCTCACCGGGCCGCTCACCGGGCCGCTCACAGGGACGCTCCCAGGGCCGCTCACAGGGGTGGGGGGCGCCAGAGCGGCGTCCGTCCGCGGCGGGAGGCCGGCGCTGGGCCCGGCCTGCTGCAGGTGGTTCAGGTAGTCGGTGGCCGCCAGCGCCGGGGCGCCGTCCGGCTCGTCCGCGCCCCGACCGGCTCCGGCTCCGGCTCCGGCTCCGGCCGGCGGCGCGCTCAGCCGCGAGTCGGTCCGGCGCGGCACGGGCGGCGGCACGCGCGCTGCCGCCGCGCCGCCGTGGAACGACTTCCTCATGAGTTTGCTGCGCTGCAGGGCGGGCGCGGCGTCCTCGGCAGGCCCCTCGGACAGGTAGCCGCCGGCCGGGTCCGGCTCGGCGCGCGCCGGCCGCCGCTCCACGGCCGCGTTGTAGCTGCTCTGCTGGTCCGGGTCGGTCAGGTCGGGCAGGCTGCGGTTCTTGCGGCGGATCAGACCCCCGCTGAGCAGCTTCAGTCGGATCTTGTGCTGCCTGCGGCCGGTCCGGGCCTCCTTGGCCGGCTCGGTGCCGGGGCCGGGGCCGGTGCCGGGGCCGGGGGCGGCGGGGGCGTCTCGGCGCGGCTTGTTCACCTTGGCGTACAGCTGCTCCACGGGCTGGGCGGGGGCGGGGGCGGGGGCGGCCTGGCGGCGCCGCGGCAGCGTGGCGTACAGCTGGATGTGGGCCGTCTCCTGGCCGGCCGGCGCGCAACGCTCCCCGTCCAGGTCACGTGACGACTGCCGGCTGTGCGGCGTGCGCCGACCCGACGAGTCACGTGATGATTGCCGAGAGTGGCGCCCCTCGCGGCCAGAGTCTGAAACAGGCCGCGCAGACGCGCTGTGAGTGGCGAGATACATATCCTCAGATATAGCAGGCTATACCAGGCAGCACCAACCAGCACTTACCGGGGTTACATGAGCTAGTAAATGCGTATTAGGAACGGATTTCCCTATTCTCTTAGCGTTGCGATCCGTTTGTGACAGGCAATTACTCTGCTCATGTATCTGTGGTCAGTGACAGGTAGGTCTGACGCCGGCGTCCGGGAGGCGGTCCCGGTCCGCCCTCCCCTCCCACCCTGTCCTTTCCTCCCTCTGCTCCCTCTCCCCGCCTGAGCTCCTCCCTCTGTCCCTCTCCCCGCCTGAGCTCCTCCCTCCGTCCCTCTCCCCGGCTGAGCTCCCCCCTCCCTCCGTCCCTCTCCCCGCCTGAGCTCCTCCCTGCTCCCTCTCCCCGGCTGAGCCCCTCCCTGCTCCCTCTCCCCGGCTGAGCTCCTCCCTGCTCCCTCTCCCCGGCTGAGCTCCTCCCTGCTCCCTCTCCCCGGCTGAGCCCCTCCCTCCCTGCTCCCTCTCCCTGGCTGAGCTCCTCCCTCCGTCCCTCTCCCCGCCTGAGCTCCTCCCTGCTCCCTCTCCCCGGCTGAGCTCCCCCTCCGTCCGTCCCTCTCCCCGGCTGAGCCCCTCCCTCCGTCCCTCTCCCCGGCTGAGCTGCTCCCTCCGTCCGTCTTAGCTCCCTCTCTCCCCAGTCCCCGTGCCCACCTGTCCTCTTGCCGCCGCCGCTGGAGCTCCCCCTCCCTCCGTCCGTCCGTAGCTCCCTCTCTCCCCAGTCCCCGTGCCCACCTGTCCTCTTGCCGCCGCCGCTGGAGCTCCGCCTCCCTCCCTCCGTCCGTCTGTAGCTCCCTCTCTCCCCAGTCCCCGTGCCCACCTGTCCTCTTGCCGCCGCCGCTGGAGCTCCCCCTCCCTCCGTCCGTCCGTCTGTAGCTCCCTCTCTCCCCAGTCCCCGTGCCCACCTGTCCTCTTGCCGCCGCCGCTGGAGCTCCCCCTCCCTCCGTCCGTCCGTCTGTAGCTCCCTCTCTCCCCAGTCCCCGTGCCCACCTGTCCTCTTGCCGCCGCCGCTGGAGCTCCCCCTCCCTCCGTCCGTCCGTCTGTAGCTCCCTCTCTCCCCAGTCCCCGTGCCCACCTGTCCTCTTGCCGCCGCCGCTGGAGCTCCCCCTCCCTCCGTCCGTCCGTCTGTAGCTCCCTCTCTCCCCAGTTCCCGTGCACACCTGTCCTCTTGCCGCCGCCGCTGGAGCTCCCCCTCCCTCCGTCCGTCTGTAGCTCCCTCTCTCCCCAGTCCCCGTGCCCACCTGTCCTCTTGCCGCCGCCGCTGGAGCTCCCCCTCCCTCCGACCGTCCGTCTGTAGCTCCCTCTCTCCCCAGTTCCCGTGCCCACCTGTCCTCTTAGCCGCCGCCGCTGGAGCTCCCCCTCCCTCCGTCCGTCCGTAGCTCCCTCTCTCCCCAGTCCCCGTGCCCACCTGTCCTCTTGCCGCCGCCGCTGGAGCTCCCCCTCCCTCCGTCCGTCCGTCTGTAGCTCCCTCTCCCCCCAGTCCCCGTGCCCACCTGTCCTCTTGCCGCCGCCGCTGGAGCTCCCCCTCCCTCCGTCCGTCCGTCTGTAGCTCCCTCTCTCCCCAGTCCCCGTGCCCACCTGTCCACTTGCCGCCGCCGCTGGAGCTCCCCCTCTCTCCCTCCGTCCGTCTGTAGCTCCCTCTCTCCCCAGTCCCCGTGCCCACCTGTCCTCTTGCCGCCGCCGCTGGAGCTCCCCCTCCCTCCGTCCGTCTGTAGCTCCCTCTCTCCCCAGTCCCCGTGCCCACCTGTCCTCTTGCCGCCGCCGCTGGAGCTCCCCCTCCCTCCGACCGTCCGTCTGTAGCTCCCTCTCTCCCCAGTTCCCGTGCCCACCTGTCCTCTTGCCGCCGCCGCTGGAGCTCCCCCTCCCTCCGTCCGTCCGTCTGTAGCTCCCTCTCTCCCCAGTCCCCGTGCCCACCTGTCCTCTTGCCGCCGCCGCTGGAGCTCCCCCTCTCTCCGTCCGTCTGTAGCTCCCTCTCTCCCCAGTCCCCGTGCCCACCTGTCCTCTTGCCGCCGCCGCTGGAGCTCCCCCTCCCTCCGTCCGTCCGTCTGTAGCTCCCTCTCTCCCCAGTCCCCGTGCCCACCTGTCCTCTTGCCGCCGCCGCTGGAGCTCCCCTCCCTCCGTCCGTCCGTCTGTAGCTCCCTCTCTCCCCAGTCCCCGTGCCCACCTGTCCTCTTGCCGCCGCCGCTGGAGCTCCCCCTCCGTCCGTCCGTCTGTAGCTCCCTCTCTCCCCAGTCCCCGTGCCCACCTGTCCTCTTGCCGCCGCCGCTGGAGCTCCCCCTCCCTCCGTCCGTCCGTCTGTAGCTCCCTCTCTCCCCAGTCCCCGTGCCCACCTGTCCTCTTGCCGCCGCCGCTGGAGCTCCCCCTCCCTCCGTCCGTCCGTCTGTAGCTCCCTCTCTCCCCAGTCCCCGTGCCCACCTGTCCTCTTGCCGCCGCCGCTGGAGCTCCCCCTCCCTCCGTCCGTCCGTCTGTAGCTCCCTCTCTCCCCAGTCCCCGTGCCCACCTGTCCTCTTGCCGCCGCCGCTGGAGCTCCCCCTCCCTCCGTCCGTCCGTCTGTAGCTCCCTCTATCCCCAGTCCCCGTGCCCACCTGTCCTCTTGCCGCCGCCGCTGGAGCTCCCCCTCCCTCCGTCCGTCCGTCTGT